ATGAATCACACAAACACACACACACACACACAACTGCAGTGGTATGCCAAGTGCCACAATGGCATGACTGAGGCCTTTACTGGAGGACAAACATTCCTGTCTGTAAGGAAATGTAAGGATGGTGTAGAGTTACGTGGTTCAGACATAATCATAATGTGCTATATTTACCCTGCAGGTGAAGTGAATTAAATCTATGCAGCTTTGAATTTTCTTATTTCCTAATTAGGTTTTTACTCTCTGGCGTGTGCAAGTGGCTTTGAAAACCATACAAACTTGTTTTTTTATCCCTAACGTTTCATTTTTGTCTTCCTACTCACATGAAACCACTTGTAGTAACAAAAGCTAAGTGGTCCACTTTGACTGGCGTCATTTTCTGACCAAAATAAAATTATCTAACTCAAAAATGAGAAATGAGAGTTGATCTGAAACCAAATGACGTGTGTGACTGCAGCTAACAAAGAGCTATCTTGGCGGAGGCTGACGATGGAACCAAATCTGTTGTAGACAACGAAAAGTGGTTTCTAGATCACTGTGGAAGGGGAGAAAAAGAGAATAAACTAAAGAAAGTGGTCCAACTTTGATAGAAATAGTAACTTAGCATCACATGGTAAAAATTAAATCCCATTTTCACCCGGTAAACTGACCTCAAGCAGCTGCGGACATTTGTGGAATTTGTTAAAAACCGCAACAAAACAGATTTTTTTTTGTTACTCTGATAAAATGAGAGTTTAGATTGTGCAAAAGGAGTCAACTGATGAGTGTACTGTTATAACATCTGATAAACGCCTCAGTACTTGTATTCTTTTCACTGACAATACAGTTGAATCTAATCTAATCTTGCTGGTAACAGAAAAATGAATCACACCACTTAATGCACTCTAAATAAAGGTTTCAGTAGAAGCATTTGAATTCAATTTGAGTTTGTTTGAGGTGACGCAAAAATCACAAGATAACTCCAAAGCACTCTCTTTTAAAACAATTAAAATTCCTTTATTGTCACGCCAAAACGCGATAATAAACAATAAAGGTATTTGAATTCTTCCAAAGAGAGTGCTTTGGAATTTTCTTGTGATTCTGTGACCCTATATACTCTGTTAAGACTTCAGGTAATCTCTTTCATTATTGTATGTATACTCTATGTCTTATTATATAAATGTACAATGTTAAGTAACATAATGTTTTTTTCATTGTGATGAAGGTCACATGTGACCATGATGGATTTGATGGTTATGGTGCAGAAAGCAACTTCCCTGCTCGTTGGGAAATCTAAACAGTCACATCATTTCCATAAGGGGCTGCTCCACAAACAGTGACACAGTTAATTGCTAACAGATAAAGCGGTTAGCAAATGACAGCCTCACGTCACAGAGTGTCATCATGTGGCACGCTGAGGCCTGATGAATGTGTGGTTTCACTGTGGGCATGAGAGTAAAACTGAACACAGTGAAGGAAGGAAGGAATGTGTGGGAATGTTTGAGCAAGTGCATGTTTGTGCACTGTGTACGCGATGCAAGCGGTGGCAACACTCTCCCTCCAGTGTTAATCAGCCTCAGGGCAAAGTTTTCTGTCATGTCATCACTGTTTTTGTCTGCGCATCCTGTCTTCCTCTTTTATCCAAGATCCAAGCCGTTCAAAGTGCATTTGCTGAAAGAAACCCCCTGACCTTTTGTGGATTTTTTTTCCTTTATCAGTGATACGTAAAACACATATTCAAACAACTTCTGTTCTGCATGGACATTTACGTCATCACACAGTACAGTCATTTCATTATTAGATTAGTAGACAGTTTTTGTACTAATTAAACTCAAGGGAATTGAACTGTTTAACTTCCCATTTCTTCATACAGCCTTTGAGTTAAATGTGCATAATTCCTTTGTCTGACTATATTATAAAGTGTAGTTAATAGTTAACTCATATTGAAATATAGCCAATTAAAAACAGACAACACAGTTACATGTAACCTAGATGCCTAGATATGTTTTGACCAGCTAATCACCACTTACTGGCTGGTTATTTATACACTTTAAGCAAGAAGATTGTGTCACTTCCAAATGTTTTTCTCATGCGTGAATTCCACAGAGACGCTTTCTGCTGGGTGGGAGCGCTGAGTCGCACGTCTCAGCAACAGAGAGAATAATTCCTGGCAACGTGTCAGACGCCTTTGTTTGCTTGCTGGACCTGCGATAGGAACCATGGTTATGACCTTCGTGACGGAAAGCCGTTACATAGCCTGGGGTGTGAGGTTTTGACTGGAGTGTGATTATCACACTGAAACAAAGAGACTGAATCTGCCAAGACCAATAATCAAGCAGCTGATGATTTAATATGTGGGCTTTAATGAGAACACAAGAAAATGGGAGAGTCACATGTGATTAGTTGCAGTCTGTAATGCGTTTGTGTAGGTCTAGGATGAGAAATCATATTACTCATCAATATTAGTCATCAGAATGTGTGTAGAAATCCCTCCTCTGATGTGTAATGCGATTAGTTATAATTCTGACTGGTTCAGCTTTCACTGAAGAGTTCCCCATACGTCTTTCTCACCATGTTGTGCTTTAACATGTTGTGAATGATCAAAGGGCATCATAAGAATCACATTTTAGATTCTTGTCAGCGAATACATTGGAAAAAAGCATGTTTTTGTGGCAATACAAGTCAACTAAGGCGACTTAAGAGCTTACAAGGAAAAGCACACGACTCAAAACTCATTTCATACTGTGAATGAAGATGTAGAGTTGAACTGCAGGATGCTTTTTTTAATGTAATAAATGTACAACAAAGTGACCTGCTGATTTCCACGTAGTCCTTGTTGACCAGAAATATACTCATCAATCACAGTGAGTCGGTTTAATACATCAGATAAACCAGATGAGCAGGAAAAGCTCAGCAACAACCCAAGGACTTTCATTGTTCTCCTGCCCTACTGTTTCTGGAACTCCATAGTGCCACTGACAACAGGATATTCTTCGAGAGTACCATCTGTTATCTTTTGCTCAGTTTGTTGTTGAGATGCAGCTCATAGCATCTATAATTCTAGCCTGGAGAAAAAAGAGCTGCCAGAGAGAAGCCTAAAGCTGACTATTATAAACAGCAGTGCCAGATGAAACAACCCATGTGGCTTTAGGTCACATGTCCTGTCTCTGGTATGCAGCAGACAGACGTACTGAGAGATTAACGGGTACAAAAGTCAGTTCATTGGATGTGTAACTGAATGCAATATAAGTTATATTTGCTCTTAATTCATGTAGTGGGATTTAAAGGCCCTTGAAAAAGCTTAACACACATGAAATTGAATAAGTTGATATGACTAAAGGGTTTTCTCTTAACGCTATGACATCTATAACCACTCCATCACTGTCCCCCCAATCACCGACACTGAAATCACTTAAAGAAGTAAGGGATCTCTTTGCAGCCAGGATGGACACAAGGAATGATTACAGCAACTACATGGACAAAAAGCAACCAGTTCCAGTCCTCTAAGTTAGACTCTGATCCCATTCAGATGGAAACACAAGAAGCCATGGAGAAAACAATAAGATCATTAATGTTGTAAGTTACTTACAGTATGTAAAATGAGCTACAGATGGGGCAATAAACTGTTAAAACATGGATCTTCATAAAGAATATGCCTTTCTGCTAAGTAGATTATGTTTAGAGCTGAAACAATTAGTCAATAAATCAATAAAGTTATTTTCCCTAGTTCCAGATTCTAAATGGTGGGGGTTTGCTTATTTCTTTTGATAATGAACTGAATATATTTGATTTAGGACAGAAAAACAAGCCATTTGAAGACCCCATAATAGACAAAAATACAATTACAGAAATATGGCCTGTGCAAAAACCTTTAAATGCACCAACAATAGTTGTCTGAAAGCTGCACAGGCCAATTCCCATCATGCATCCTCAAGACAGAACACACAGCAGGGCGCACGGTATAAAGTGTCAGAAAAGAAGGTGATTCTGCACACTGCTCAGGTAATTATTTACCTAACACTCAGTTGTGAATTCCTGTCCAGAAGCCGAATGTTTGCCAGTTGGCAGGACTGACAAGCATCCTGCGTCACCTTCCGCCTGGACGTCGGTTTGACATCGTTTCACAAAAGGGCTTATACCGCAGCTGCCATATTCAACGCATCCTCTTTAAATGCTTCTGCAGTTACATCAGTGATTTTCATTATGGTTCTGTTTTTCCACCGCTCATTCTATCGTATGCACACGAAGCCATTTAACAGCCTATCACTGCTTGCACACACACACACTATCAGGGTAAATGTTTCCAGAGTCAAGTAGACACACCATTAACTGGCTAGAGTCCTAATGGGCTGGCAGGGGACTAATGGGCTTATCCTGGAACATTATCACCTTAAGCAAAAAAACAGCTGCTGCCATCAGAACTTGTTTTCTGGTATTTACAACTTTCACTGCCTCCAAGTGCAGGTGTTTCTTGGCATCCACTTTTATATATGCAGAAAGACGTGGAGGAAGAGGGGAGGAGATCTGTCACTCACGCAAAGTAGAGGTATGATTCGAGATACTCAAAAACAACGATGAGATCTGGCCTTTGGGTTTTGTTTTTAACCTTCTCTTGACTAGTTATACAGAGCCAGCAGACACTGTTACACCATTCAGGGAGTTCTGGCTTGTTTGAGGTTTACATGAACCTAAAATGTCCCCTAAAGAGGCATTTTGGACACTGAGAGACATAAACTAAACTTTCTGAAACACTCTTTCTCTCCCTCCATGTATCTCTCTCTGTCACCATTCAACACATTGTAATTGCTGTCTTGGGCATGCACTGTACAGCAAGAATGCAGCAAGCATATGATGAATAGCCAGTTTAGGAGATACTCCAATATATCCGCAGCGATGAATCACATCGTGTTTCAAACTCAAAATGCAACCAGATCCCATGAGGTGAAGCTAGAGGATTTCTTTCCCACCATTTTTATTTTTTTTTCACTTTCCTCGGAATTATATCCCCATTTATTTGCTCACTAAACCAGCATATTAGACACCAGGATAAAACAATTATCGAGTTCTGCCAATAAAACACATTTTGTATTGTCAGCGGATGTTTCAGAGCATGTGACGTCAATTGGACATTGAACTGCTCTGTAATAGCTGGTAGAAAGCAAAAAAAAAGTATTCAAGAGGCAGTGTAATGCTGGATCTTGCTGCCAAGAGACTGTGTGTATTTATGCCTCTGACATTACATATTTTGCTAAATATGCTTGTATCTCACCAGCTGCTTCCTTCTCTAATTTTCAAGCCAAGATATAAGAATTAGCCAAAACTCCCCTATCTACCCCGTGCGAGTGCTGGTTTTTATTGCCATCTTTGCTATGTACTTTCTGTAAAGTAAAACCTGTAATTAATTTCACTGATTCCATCATCACTGTGTTATGCTATGCAAAGAATGCTAAAGAATTCCCTGTGCATGCCAGTTTTCAGATTGGCAGTCATGGAAGTATACACCAATGGGATGGGTGAAATTCAGAAATTGTTGAATCACTGATACTGAAGCCTGCTGTAGAAATTAAAGTTAGGAAGGTATGCATCACACAACCTGAACTGATAGTGTAGGTTTTTCCTTTTTCCAAATGAATTCTGGACTTGGCCATGGTGGAAACTCTGGTTTCTACTACTCTGTGCACTCATAGAGACAAACTCAAACATGAAGATCATCAAGCGTGAGGTGAGTACTGTCCACAGAAAGCGGCGTTCTCCAATGATATCTTACATTGAGGCGAGGGACGCAAGGAGTTGGAAGTTTACTGATGCCATATTTGATGATCTGGATTTCTAATGTTGCGTAATTTTATCACTATGCTTTGGAGAAGCAATGTGCCAAAAGTGAGTCTTAAATACTGAAACCACAAACCTACAGACTAACAACTGTCAAGACTTTGCACACAATGTGAGTCAAAGTATACCTCATTGTTGCATCACAACTGTCTTTAGGGATGTACTGGTAGGTTTAACAACAGAGAGCACTTCAGGTGACCTTCGGGGGGTTCATCTGCTTCTCTCAAAGTCGTTAATAGCCTGCCGTAAATCTAAAAATTACACCTCTAGTTTGAAGTGCTAGGGCCCTGTAGTTAAAGGGTCGGTTTGGGGCTGGTGATACAGCTGAGCACAACACCTGGAATCCCTCAGCAGCAACAATGAGCTCTGATGAAAAACAAATGTCAGCACCCCCTCCCCTCCCTTCCTTCTGCAAGCCCTGCAGCAGGACCGTGCTGTGTTTACCCTGGCCAGGATGCACTATTGGCTACTGCCAGATGCACTGCCAGCACACTGACTCTTGACCCATATTCTAAGGGTCAGGAAAGTTCATGAAGCTTTGTGAATATTACCACTACTTTAACTTCTACTGCCACTGATAGTAATATTAACAATAATTAAATAACACATAAAATAATACAGTAATTATGATCATTTCCTGAATGAAGGATGTTTAAAAGGTCTATATGAGGCTGCCTGAGTACAGCCTGAGGGCACTTACTGACAAATTAAAATTTGGAAAAATAATTTTAAATAAAATTAATTAAAAGAAATAAATTAAATACATTCTTAAGAATGTATTTAATTTATTTACTTTACAAATTCAAGGACAAACTCCTTGAACCAATTGGCATCTTTGAGGGGGTATTAAAACATTGACATTGTAGTTTTATTCAAATTATGAAACAAATATAACCATATTGTGTTTTTTTTCTCCCATCCACTGAAAGCTTACAGTATAATTGATCTGGTCGGCCAATTGGCAATGACTCACTAAATTGTACTGGCAACTTTAGCTGCCAGGAATTAGACAGAACCGTCTGTCAGCTTTTAGAGTAAAGCTCCTGTTCATACACTGTAATTACCGCCGTTAGGGTTAACAGACCTTGGCGACCTCTTATTAATTAATTGGGGCCAGTATCCAGCTCAGTCACTCAAACTTTCCCTACATCCCCTGCGCCTGCTAATTACTGTCACTGTGCATAAGTAGGGAATGGTAAAGTCAGTGAAATGGCTGTAATGAGGATGATTATCATGGTTTCTGGTTGGAGAAATTTGCCAAGTTCCACTTTGCGCGCTGCTCAATGAATGAATACGCAATCGAAGCGGCAGACAGCGGAGTCGCAACCTACCCTGGAGATGGTTAACGGCGTGCTGAAATCCCGTCCTCCCACCAGTCGAAACCCCCAAGGAGAGGGTCCCTTTAGTGTCACGGTCTGGGGCATGTTTGGCATAAAGACAGCGATAAAGGAAGAGGCTGGATGACAGTGGCAGACAGAGCCGGGTCAGCGTCCTCGGTTCCTCGATATACTGAGTGAAGAGGGAGAAGAAGAAAAAAAACCAGGCAACGTGAAGTAGCAAGAGTCCTCTGCCTAGCTGCTAGGCAACGCTGTCCCGTCTGAGAAAACTTTCCTCCCCTCTTGATTCAACTTTAAATAACGAAGCCGCCTCTGACGCGGGATGACGGGCTGTCCTGCCCGCCTTCAGCCGGTCTATGCGGAGTGGGAGGGGACGGAGCTGCACTGGGGGGGCTGGGTGGCTGAGAGAGACCTGCAGGGCTCTGACATGTCAGCTGTGAAAGAGTCACAAAAATCCGGCAGCAGTGAAAGAGGATAGTTTATTTAGTTAAAAGTACCAAAACAACACTGTAATACAAATGTCACTTAAATAAATATGTAAGTATAATCAGGCAAAAAGTAAAACAAGTGCAAGGAAGTACATATAGTCAAGAATTGTACTTGAATATAATATTTTCAGGTACTTGTATTTTACTTAATTAATACAAGATAAAGCTACATGGCAGTATGTGAAGTTATTAACCCCACCTTCACCAACTGCAACGTAAACATTATGGGTACACATGAATGCATCAGTATTTTATTAATTTATATTCTGACACACTGTATTTTTAGTATATTTTGATGCTCATACTTTTGCATTTTTCCTTAAAGCAGAAACAATAAACTTTCATTTTGTGTGATTATGGCGGCCCCTGTGGACAAAGGCGGTAGTGTTTTCACGTGGCAGGCTTTAAGAGAAAATATAAAAAATAGCCAATCTTCTCACTGATGATCTCATGTGCTCATACACATCATATAGTGGCATTAATGTTAAACTGAGACTGTTTCATAACCAGCTAGAAACTCCTTGTTGTAGGTTTAAGTAAAATTCTGAATAGAGGACTTTCACTTATTTCTACATGCTAATATAGCTACTTTATATGTTAACAAAAGTCATAAGCTATATAAGCAAACCTTAAGCCTTGCCAGAAAACATTCAGATTTAGTCATGTGTTAGTCTATGTATTAAAACCTAGTCAAAGAATATTGTACCTACTGTATATACTGGCCAGTAATTAAGTGATCTTTTGAATTAGCCATGTATCCATAGCTTTTATTATACCTTCAACATTGCTGCAAGATTGTCTGAAGTTTACTCTTTAAAAAAAATAGGTTTCAATTTTGGTAAGGAGCTGCACTTTGTTTTACCTTTAAAAGTAATTTGAAATTAACAGATTAACAGGAGATATACAGTCAGGCTAGTCACTCAGTGAAGCTGTACTCAGGGTCTTGGAGCTAAATGCTAATGTAACGTCAGCATGCAATGCCAGTCCTGATGTATACCAGATATAAATTTAACCATGTTAACATTTGCTAATTATGAATAATCACAAAATACAGCCTGACTGGAATGTCAATAATTTTGCAGGTATTTGGTCATAAACCAAAGTATTCGTCAGATTCAAATTTTGACTGCTGTATGAAAAGTCTGGAGGGTCGAAGTTCATACAATCAATTCTGTGGAGGAAATTAATATCTGTACCAAATTTCTTGGAAAATCCATCCAACAGTTGTCGAGACATCTCACTCAAAAAACAACAACCCAACAAATTGACACTGCCATCCATAGAGCCTCATGGCTAGCGTGACTAAAAAGAAAGGAAACCATAAAAAAGGGCTCACATAATATGCTGGCCTTTGGGGGTTGTAGGATAATCTGGACATGCAGTTAAAGCTAAGGCCAGTCAATAACTCAGTGATCAGGGTCTTAAGCAAGAAGCCATAAGGCCTGAGTATCATCCTCAACAGTGAGGATGTTCTGCTGTAATTTGGACGCCTCACTGGCAGAAAAGACCTCTCCCATTAGTCGGTGGATATCCTAGTATCCTCTTTGCCCCACTTCTTGATTCTTTCATTTCCCCAGCCAATTACAGAGTGAGTCACTGAGCTGGAGTACGATTTTTCTACTGCCTAGGGAATGATCTCATAGACATTCCTGGGAATCTGTCTTTCAGACAACTGCTGGCATGTGGGGCTCTGTCTATGGGTCTGAGTCAATTTGAGTCAGACACTAACCTATCCCAGTGTAAAACAGTGGCACTGATGTCCAACCAATTAGATTTCAACATCAGCATCTCATCATCAGTGCATCATGAGTGCCAGTGTTTCAGAAGCCTTGTATAAAGTTTGTACAATGAGCTGCTGTGACGCAATGCTGAGTAAGTAATAATTTGCTGCAATGATGAAATCCGCGTGATTGCTTTAACAAAAGAAAATAAACGAGAGAGAATATGATCAGATGATGTCTCTCCGAAGTTGCTGTCAGATCCATTCAGTAATTGTTTAAATACAAGTGGAAAGTAAGCACTTTATGGCCCCATTTTGACAACAAAAGTTTAGGAAGAGCGTTTCAGAGTAAAAAAAAAAGAAAGAAAAAAAGATATCCATACAGTCATTTATATAGATGTGTAAACAAAGCTAATAATCATGTTTCAGAAGGTGTCACTAAACAGTATTTACAGACAGCTTCTTTACTTCTAACCCAGGGTACATCAAAGGATGACTAACCAAAGAACAAGAAAGGATGAGAGGGCTGTAGTCTGCACTGGAGATTTATTGAACATATGAACAGGCTGACATTTCGGATATGAGTCTTCTTCAAAGCCTGTTCACAGTAAAAGTCAAACTACAGGGAGCTCCCATCTCTCTGTTCTTTTCTCCCCGGATGGTCATCATTCGACATACCCTTGGCTATGAAGTCCTTTTAAATCCCTACAAATCTATTTACTCTCTGATTTTGCCTCTGTGTTACGTAGCCAAGACGAACCTGAAGGGGAAACAGGTAGGGCAAGTGGTGTCGTAATCATGAGCTGTCTGCCTCCGTCTGGATTTTCTCGGCTGTCTGGGAGAATGATGTCATCTAAACTGTTGCACAAATGTTGATTCCTCTTGCTAGTAAATAGAGTCTAATAATTATTGATGTCATCAGAAAGTACCTACAATAAATTTATTTTTATGAACTGAGCAAAAAGTTTACTGACAGAAATGTATTTTTAATATAATACCTTCAGTTTTTAACATTTTCATTGGCCCAAAGGCCTTTCAACACAATGTTGCACAAGTAACTACTTCTACGGAATTGATACAATGGGTGCAGTAAAACTAAAATAACACTAATATTAATCCTATTTATGAGAGTAGTATAAAAAACTCTACATGGCAAAGTGAAATAATTGGTATACGGTGTAGCTGATAATGATGGAAGATTTTTAAGGACATTAAAGTTGCACTAATCAATACTTTAAATTAAAATTGGATTCAACGACTGTGTAAAGCAAAAGGAGTCACTTGTAGTGACAGCCCCACAGATAATTACAACCTGACTCTGCTGTTCCCGTCAGCTCTAGCCTCTTTCAGCTCATGGTTTTGGTTTTAAGGCCAGCAACTGTTTGGTTCAGTCTCACTACTTTCACCAACCCTGTTTCCAGCAGCAACAGGCAGCTGTTTTCTAGGAAAAAGCTCAGATAAACCCACAGCATGCTACCCACATAGTACCAAGTGGCAGACAGACAAAGTTAGTAACTTGCTGGTGAAGACAGTGGATGCATCTATAGCTAATGAGCCATGTCCGTCAGGAGTTGGTGGAGACCAAAACAGCATGACAGCTAAAATTGGACTTGAATTTTATCATGACTTCTAACATTTTTACATGTCTGACAAATATGTGTAAATAACACTTAGCAGAATCTCATTAGGTGCAGGGTTTAGAATCACTTCTACAGATGTGACTCAAGTCCAGAAGTCGGCAGCAGCAAATCCTCAGATGCAGCTCCTGATTGGTAACATCTTTGCTGCATTAATAAAAAAACACAGCTTTTTTACCCTGTTTTCCAGCTCACACAACATTTGTTAGCTAGCTCTATGTCCCCTGCATTGAAAATGGTTAGTTCTTTGTAATGACACCGGCTGGAAACAATAGTGCCACTCACTGAGCTGTGCCTGGAGCACCCCATGGGGAAGCAAATAGTTGTAGGGAAATCATGAAGCTTAATTTATGTGGTTGCAATATTGCTGAGTCAGAAATGAAAAACAGATGATATCACTGAATTAGACCACCACAGGCCTAAAGCTATCTCATAAGAATGCAGATTTACACACTTACCGTCTGCAAGTTGATGTGATTATAAATAATTCATAGAGAAGAACAACTGATACTGAAGGAAATACTTTATATGAGCATATCCGCTTCTTTCACAATTATTTATTTTATCATTTTAATCCCTAAATGTACTTTTCAAGCTGCTAAATGGGAACCAGTTTAATGTTTTTGTATTGAGCAGGTCATACAGGTAAACCCCTGTTAGTGTATGAATATTTAAGCACTAGCTAAAGAGTTTCTGTCATTTCCGGACCAAAGTACTTGCTTTACAATAGCATTTTAGTTTAGTTTGAGTTTGCTATGCTGGTGAGAAAACTGTTAAAAGCGTAAAAATCATAATTTACACAGTGATCTATCATCAGACTTGAAATTGAATGGCTACGTTTCTTGGCCACACACATTCACACTGACCAGATGCTAGCAATGAATATTTAATGTGGTGCTGAAGCATTACTGTTGTTGGAATAACAAACAGATGTGAATGGATCTTCAAGTGCAGTCCATTAATATAAGATACAATCTAACAAGAATAATGTATTCACTCACTCTTGAGGCAGTGTGCTGACACAGAAGTAAGAGAGAGTAAAAGTTGAGTTAAAGGATCAAATATTTTTATTTTATTGTTTTATGAAATATTATTACTATGCTTTGATGGATGAAAAGTAATTCTTGGTTGAATTTGCACTTTTTGCACTTTGCACATTGACCCATAGTTTAACTGTCAGTAGGAACTTTTCTTATTCAGTATCTGACAGCTGACTGAAACAATGCCATAACTGCAGCTGTGGTATTAACTAGGCACACTGACCACAATAGAGAGTCACAAAAAGGAAGTTTGACATCTCTTGAAACTGCAAAACAGACACAGACAAAAGCTGATATTTGGCTGATAGAACAGGAACTGGTTCCGCTCATTAAGTCTGGATAACAGATTTTTCCTATAACATTTCTAAGGAATAACATTTTCCAGGCACATGCTT